AGTCTCGCAATGCTACAAAGTAACTTGGAATTCGCGCGTTTGAGCACTGATTTTAGCCTCCCCATTAACCTGCGTGCAGTCTCAGGCCAGTAATGCATGTTCCATGGAATTTTTAATGCACATCAGATAGTTTTATTTTCTGTGAATAGCCAAATCATCTGAAAGGTGACTTTCGCCATCTCCTACTCTTATAACTCGTGTTTTAGAAGAATTGCGAACATTTCTTGAGAGTCCAAAGTTCTCTTCCAACTGGTCAAGCCTTATCCGATGGCCCTTGTATACACTTGTTCTTACCGATATCATCGATGTAGATCCGCAATCAGGGTGGGAATGAGGTGCAAGGATAGACTAATAAAGTCATAGGCCGCTTTTCTAAGGCAACGTTAACGAGAAACTTCCTTGTTATAGCGTCTATATCAAAGGCATGGAGCCTCGTTAGAGTTGTATCGATAGCAGACGGAGGGTGGGCAAAGCAATTCGAGTGGTTAGCAGTACCTCATCCATCCAATTCTTTTTGTCTTATTGTGATGAAATTTTGTAGCTTTTTACTGCTTCCTTCCCTCGGTTAATTGGAATTGAATCCGTCCCAATCGGGTCATTTCTTAAAAAATAAGCATGAAACCAGAAGATCTACCAACTACTGCAATATAGACTTTCCTATGGTCAGGATTGCAAAGTAGGAACGAAGTGGCACTTCTTTGCATTCACCGAAATTCTCACGGTGTTCACTGTAGCAACACGTTTAAGATTGTATTCACTATTGCATTGTGAGCTCAAAGTTAGTGGATTAGACCACTTAAATCGAAAAGAAAAAAATAATAATTTCGATGCAATTGTGCAATGTTTTTGTTAGCATCGTGCATTTCTTGCAAAGCCATAAAGCAGAATTTTAAATGCGCGTAAATTACAATAATTTGGTGCAATTCGAGCCGTCATGTCGAACTACCTGTTTTCGGTTTCCGGCGAGGAGCTGCAACAGCAAGACTTGTGAGCTCTTCGGTCTTCCGACTTACACGGCGCATTCCTCGGTCAGTGCACCCCGCACCGCTGATGTTGCCTTTTTTTGCGCACTACCACAACCATTTCCGCTCCTAACAAGCCCAGTTTTCGCCACAAAAACATGCTAGCATGACTTTTCAGTTGAAGCAGAAGAATCATAAGACCAAAGGGGAAAAAATGTGACATTTTCATAACATGGAAAAATCATGGGATATTTTTGCATTAACGGTTATTAAGTCGGTGCAGAATGTGCTCCTTTTTACATTTCTAAGACATTTTATAAACATCATAGAACCCCACAATCCACTGCAACGTGGCATTGTTTGTTTTTTACTCCACGATGTGGTATTGTAGGCGATTTTAATTACCCTTTGCAACACCATCTGCACAGTACTTTGTGCATTTAATTGCCGCAAATAATTTTTAATCCTCCTTCTTGTGACTCCCACAGGCACTGAATTGCGGAGTCACCGCTTTGTGCCAAGGAGGGCTCACCGTAAGACCGAATTTCATCTGCCCTAAATTTCCTGCCGTAGAGTTTATTTTAACCGTTACGTCAAATGCACAGCTTGGTTATGGTTTTATTGACAGCACTGGATTTTCTCGCCAGGTTTACTTACCAGGACTGCCTGACATTCACTAACCACCGAATCTTTCCTGTAATGTCCTGCACAGCGACGAATAAGGGTTTGGACATACCGTCTACCTCAAGTAAGCAGTCACAGAACGACTAATTGGGACTAGAATTAAGGCGTGTTAGATTTCACGCTGCCATGTTGAGGCTATTAAACAGTTTGTCAAGAAACCGGCCTACAGGGAAAAAGATGTGTGATATAATTTCAGCCAAGGAATAACGAATTGGTCATTTACAAATACACGTTTTTGCCGCAATATCAGTCAAAGCTGCTATACGGTGAGGAGAAGGCCAGAAACAAACATTTTGGCAGGGCTGTTGAGAGTCAAGTCCAAAGATTGAAGCAAAGAAAAGTAAATAAGGCAATGCGATACCTTCTCACATTTAATCGAGGCTGCAATCGCTTAGTGGCTTCATTGATACTCCCTTTTTTGACCAAATAAGGGGTAATTTGATAAATATAAAGAGCTGATCAAGAAAGTCCTCGAGAGGTGGTACACAGGCGGCAAAAGGCAGCAAGAAGATATAGACACAGCCCAGGAATCCGGCAATCGGCCAACCCACGAAGAAGACGAGAAGAAACCAGACCACCGAATAGATGAGTCCAGGACACATGTCTGCCATCTTTTGGAAACCCTTCGGTTTAGCTTATCGGTATTTATGCAACGGAATAGCACTTTTTATTGGTTCTCGCGTTGCATTGCGAGGTTTTTGTGTGTTTGGCCGCAGTGCCACTAACTGATTGGCTGCTGCAGTCATACGGTGTTTCTGGCGGTTCAAATGAACAAGTCAAGTCGGAGTGCAAATGTTTGCACTACCCCTAAAAGGACAAGCGATTTTAAAATTATCATATAAAGCACTTTTCACCTCCTATAAAGTCCACCAAGTTGTAAATGCAAAGGTGTTTTAAAAATTTTGATTTGAATGTGTATTTCTTGTGCCGCAGGTTATTACAACCGCTAGAGAGTGAAAGGGAGGATAAGTGAAATTGCCAGTGTGAGGTGTACTGAAGCCTAATGAGATGCTTTTTTCGCTAAGAAGATGCTCTTTTATTACAGAGAGGATGAAAGAAACTCTAGGCCGATTGGGGGGATTCGTCTACCGCTAGAATGGGGATAAATTTGGTCAGTCCCCTTCTTCCTCTCTCACCTCTCCAGTCGCTATGCCAGATTGTTCCAAAAATCCATCATACAGCCGCCGATGCGTGATATGAGATTTGTGACAATGTGACAAGAATTTTGGGGTTTGCTAGCACGAA